GTTCAAATTGTAAATTATGGCTTTAATTTTATTAACGTTCCATTCCTTAAAAATAAAAGAGTTGAATCTTTCAGAACTTCGAAAAACACATCATTTCTCTTTATTTATTAGTTGCAGTTTTCCTGATCTCTTGTTTGATACGAACATCTACCAAGTTTTTTTACCTGCGACCTGAAGTAAAGAAAGATTTTTCTTAAAATGTTATTGAGCAAAGTCATCATCGTCATTATTATTATTATTATTATTACTATTATTATTATTATTATTATTTGTCTTTTTGCACAGCTTATAAGATATTAGCATTTTTTGTCGTTTTTTTTTTTTTACCAATATTGGATCTCGAGCTGCATTACACAGTCTTGGGTATCCAATACTTTTCTGATTGTTCGAGCAGCGTCAAGCAAAGAGACTTTCTGTAAGACATAAAAAAACTCGTAAATTTGATACTTTCAACCAATGGACAAAATTCTTTGACATTGTTCCTAATGTTCCGATTACTATAAGCGCAATATCTATCTTTCAGCAATTCCCTATTCTCTTGATTTCATTCTTTAAGTCTGTATAGACATAAATTTTCTCTTTTTCTCTCTTGACTCCTCTGTTATCAATTGAACAAAGCAACATCAATGATGTTTTCGATGATAAGAAGAAATATATCTGGGTTTGAATTTTCGATGACTTTGTCAATTTGAATCTTTATGTCTCATGAAATGTTTTACTTTTTTTTCATCTTTGCTGATCCTCGACGGTTTTAAGATTATTCCATGTATCTCCAAAACCCAAATCCAATTTTTTTTCATAACATTTCCAATGTAAAACCGCTGCCAGTTTGTCATGTCTCTAATTCCTGCAAATCTTCTTTGCAAACGTGGAACCTTCCGACGCAACATGTGTAATAGTTTCGTCTGCCTCGCTGCACAATATGCATGATGATGAAATTATTATTATTATTATTATTATTATTATTATTTATTTATTTATTTAATTATTTATTTATTTATTTATTTATTTCCTTTGATTTCTGTTGTATACTCATTTCTTTCCGGGTCCCAATCAGAGACCTAAGGTCAGAAATGGCATCATGGATATTTTCCACTTAGCATTTTTTTTAAAAACTAAAATCAAGCATATTTTACATAGGTAAAACCTTTCGTAAGGTGTGAGCTGTACTTGTGAATACAATGTTTTGTAATTCTTTGCGTTTGAGCATGAAAGAGACTGTCATTGACTTCAATGCCCAACTTTATATTTACATACGCTCTGTCCCTGATATTGAGCACTTTAACCCATAAATATATCATTCCTTAAAACTATATTTTATCATATATATATATATATATATATATATATATATATATATATATATATAGAGAGAGAGAGAGAGAGAGAGAGAGAGAGAGAGAGATGAATATTTAAATAAATATATTCATGAAATAAATAAACCAAAATGGATTTTAAGTATTGTCCTTATATATATATATATATATATATATATATATATATATATATATATATATATATAATCATTCATAATCAAAAGTAGATTAGTAAGCTAGTACTTTCAACTGTACATTCAGTCATCATCAGGCATGGGAATTATTTTGTTTTTAGTAAAAAAAGGATCTTATGCAGCTTGTAGTTATTAAAAACAAGGATCATAACATTCATCGAGTGGTTCGTAGGTTAATGCAACTTTAAAATTTTGTTTTGCGAAGAGATTTCGCCATTTTATATCATTAACTTTACTAATCTACTTTTTGTATGAATGATCCATTGTAATATAAATTGAAGTGCACCACACACACACACACACACACACATATATATATATATATATATATATATATATATATATATATATATATATATATATATATACACACATAGTGTATGGACATAGTAATCAACACTGCATAGTGACAGTTTCAGTCACCAATACGATCTTCATGGTATGAAGATTGACTAGGAGCTTGAAACTGACAGTGGCTATACAATGATGATCCATATGTCCACACCATGAAGCAAATTTTAAACAATATATATGTAGATGTATGTACCTGCATATGGAATCATATATTTACCAACAGTTCACATGGGCGCAAGATGGAATGTATATATCGACACGTAACTTATACCAACGTATAGATTCGCTATGCATTACTGGTAAGTTCATTTTCCATTAAGTTCTCCAATATTCTAGCCTTGTGCCAGACGAGTATATTCTTCATTAATATTTACCCAGATTTTTGTCTAAGAAAAAGCTATAATGAAAGGAGCCTACCATATACTACAGAGCGGTAAACAACATGTACGCTTTCCAAGCGATTGTGAGTTAAGTCGAAATCCCGAGCACTTTCTTCATTATTGTGATCTTGAACCAGACTAAGATGAAATATGCAAGTAGTAACTACCCCACACTCATAAACTTAGAAAAAGTCACACATATATATATATATATATATATATATATATATATATATATATATATATATATATATAAAGCGGAAAGCGGACATATATCCACTCATGGGCACATACCATTGTGTTATGGTTAACAAGGTCGTTTAGTTGATGATAATAAATACCAACTTTCTAGGTTTTTCTTCTTCGTTAGACAGAGTTTAATTTTTAACTAATTATAAGTTGCCTACCGTATTGAGTTGGTAAACAAGCTAATATGGCCGACCAAGTCACTAATTTAGTAAGATTATACTTCATTGTATGTACCCCTATTTTGATCTAGTCTTTAACTTAATTTTAGTAAATAACTCCACACACTCATACACACCCACACAAATGCACGCACACTCATATACACCTACGCAAATACACGCACACTCATACACACACACATAAATACACACACACTCATACACACACATATAAATACACACACACTCATACACACACACATAAATACACAATTAGATCAAATTTAGTTTAAAGATAAAGAGAAATGAGAAAAACGTAAATTAATTGTTGAAACCGCCCGATTTATTTATATTCAAAATAAATATAAACATGTTTTTTATTTACATAAGACCAAATAATCTCCCTTAAATTATTTTTTTTTAAATTTAAGAAAAATTACAATAGGAATATTTACCACTCAAAAATTTAATTTTTTGAATTTTATTTTTTAGATACATATATAAATTCCGCTTATTTTAGTTACCAGATTTTTTTTTTAATTTTAAAATTAAAAAAAAAAATAACCCCAGCATAATATAGAACTACGCCAACATTGAGATAACCAAATAGATTATAAGTTAAATTGTGTAATGGTCAATTGATATTCAGCACCTGAAACCTGATCGTGTATGAAACTCAGAGGCGTTCTCCTAGGTGGGGATATATATATATATATATATATATATATATATATATATATATATATATATATATATAAATATGAAATATTAAAAAGATAGATCCATGAAGATCCATGTATTAAAATACATAGCAATATGATAGACATCAAAGGGAAAACTCAATACATCGAGAGAGATCGGCAATAATTTATTTCAGACAGACAACAGCCTCATCAGACTCCGGTCTATATATATATATATATATATATATATATATATATATATATATATATATATATATATATATATATTTATATATATAATATATTATATAATTCACCTTTTCAAACTTTCATGAATACTTTTACGTCCAAGCGTCATGGATTTCTTAATTAATTAGCATAATTTATGAACTTATCGTCTTTTTCTTTTCCCTCTCATTTTCTTTATTTTTTATTTTTCTCTTATATATATATATATATATATATATATATATATATATATATAATGAATCCCCTTTTGCCTTAGATTTCCACACACGTAGGCAAACCAGAATTATACGTTGCTATGCATATACAACACTATGCTCTCCCTCGCATATTAACTAACTTAGCATCCTTATAACCGGCGCCCATTCCATTGAGCGACCCCACCCAACTTGTCACCAACTATCAGAAGTAGGTTCCGATAACTCAATATTTGTGCGCGGCTTTCGAGATAATGGGAAGGCAAAGCGTGACCAGATAAATTGGCGAAGAAAGCAAGGCGTGCATATTTGAGGCCGGTGAAAAGATTGACGGTGAGATTACAAAACATGGCTGAGATGCGGCAAAGACAATACCGTCATTGGGGAATGTTGCTCTCGAAGAGGAGACGTTCCTTCTGATTCGCTATCAAGACTCAATCGGACGTTTGCCATTCTTTGCGAAAACCTAAGTTACATTCTTGAATTGCACTTTCAACTCACCCTCACCGCCTTCCGTTCTCACCCCGGTGTAATCATGTGACCCATTTCCAGTTTTGCAGGAGTTTGGGGAGAGAAGGAAGGAAGAAAACAAAAGAAGAAGAAAAAATGGAAAGTTGGGAAATAAATGAATGAATGAATGAATGAAGCCAAGTCGATAGGAAAAAGGAGAAAATGGTAAACTATCGACGAGAATGAAAATGAAAGAACAATAAACATTTGGGAGTTGCAGGAAATAAGAAAAAAAAAACAAGAAAAGGATAAATCAATCAATAAAGACAAGAATGAACAAAGGATCAAAAAAGAAGAAGAAAATAAGAAAAGGAAAAGAAAAGATGGAAAAAAGAGAATGAATAAAATGGAAGAAGTTACGTGTTACCTAACAGTGGATAGCAATGAAAATACAATCGTCGATCCGATATTTAAATCCTTAGTGAGACTACATTTACGTCGTACGAATAAACACGAGAAATACATGAATATACCTCTTTTCTCTGTGCCCAACTATAGATTAAATAGTAAAGTAGACCGGTCTCTCGAACCTTGGTGAGGAAACAGAGTAGGAGAAAAACAACTATGAATTTAAAACTATATATAAGGCCACGGCAAACAGCTTTCCCAAGAACAATAATTGCAACATTAAAGATATTAAAGGAAAAATAGAAAATTGTGGGAAGCTATGTTCGCCTACGTCCCGAAAGGACATGGACGAAGAGAAATGAACGCTAAAGAACATAAGAAAATACTGAACAAAAAAGTGGAATAGATAGGAAAGACGTTGTAAGAGAGAAAAAAAAGGGAAGGAAAAAGACAAAAAAAAGAGAAAAAATGGTGGGGGAGAAAAATGAAGGAAGAAGACAAAAAAAAATGTGAGGAAGAAGAAAAAAATAAAGAAAAACGGAGATTAAGCGAGACGTGATCCGATAACAACCCAAATGCAAGATCAAGAGCCGATGAAGATAGTATAGCGCCAATATCTAAATCGAAGTAATCGTGTCTGCCTACATCGAATAATCGAAATCGCTTTCTGTTTGTTCGCTGATTTCTGACACCGTTTCAAAAAACACAACTATCTCAGCTACCAGGTAGGACAAAGGTCAAGATAGATAGATAGATAGATAGATAGATAGATAGATCATGGGAAATGTTAAAACAATTCAGGTGACTTGAGGCATGAAATCACTTTCTCAATGAAAGAATTTGAGAAAAAAAGGAATAATTCCTAAGGGAGAGATTTCAAGTGATAATTAAATATCCGGTGAGCCATGGGAAACATTAAAGGGTCCTGAGATAGATAGATAGATAGATAGATAGATAGATAGATAGATAGATAGATAGATAGATAGATTCATTGAATGAAGAGACTGGGATAGATAGATAGATAGATAGATAGATAGATAGATAGATAGATAGATAGATAGATAAAAACAAACCGAGATACATTCATGGAGGCATGATGGCTGTCGACACGTTAAACGATTATGACAAATTTGATCAATGATTTTGGTTCTCCTGAGAACGGGAATGGCTCTTGAAGTCTGCAAGTAACTTGCAATGCTTACTGCAGATGTGTCAAACTAAGTTTTGTAAATTATGTTACAGTTTCTCGTAGGTTTTCATGCGACAAATGATATCGGAGAGGTTTCTGTAGGTTTGATGACACTCCCACATTTTTAAGTATTTCCCAGTGTCGTACTAATCGTAATTTGTGTAAGATCTGCAGATATGACTCTCTTCCCGTGGTTGACGATGCCAACATTCGAGAGTCATACTCTGCCATATTCGTCACATGTCAGTTGATGGATTATGGGATCAAAAATTCCCCCACTTTGCACGCTTGACATTTGCCAAACAAATTGCAATGTTCTTGAAAAACATTAGAACCTTCTTGAATTGTACGTTTCTACCAATATCGATCACTAGCAACGGTTCCTCTCTAAGAGACAAGACAGGCTGTAAGAGACTCTTTAAAAACAGTCTCGAAGCGATTGCTTGGTTTATAATGTACTGTACAGTAACACGCCATAGACCATTTGTTTAAGTATTCTACTGTCATCAAGGCGAATATATACATATAAACAGATGAACAAATCGAGATAGATAGATAGATAGATAGATAGATAGATAGATAGATAGATAGATAGATATGAATAGGCTGATAGACATGAATAAAATGAGATAGATAGATAGATAGATAGATAGATAGATAGATAGATAGATAGATAGATATATGAATATTTTGGTAGATATGAATCAACTTATATATATATATAAAGAGAGAGAAAGATTTTTTGAATAAGCTAATACATAGATATAAATAAACTGAGATAGAATAACTTGGGATATCGATATATATTGATTTAATTAGAATCATACATAGATTGTTATGAATAAGCAGATATCGATTGATATGAATTGACTGATAATTAGAATAGAATAGGATAGGATAGATAGATATGAATAGTCTGATACAAAGATATTAATAAACTAAGAGTGATAGTGTTAAGGGGTCCACCACTTTTTATACAAGTGGACTCGCCCAGTGTGTACTTGTACTGCTGCCGGTGAATAGGCCGGGAGTGAGACGGTGAGAGAATGAGAGTGTGAGGTAACCGGTTTGTAGGAGTCACAGTTGCGAGCACGTAGACTCAGAAGGAAGTCATACTTCGATACTGAATTTCCCAGACTGTATATATATATATTATTATTGCTACTAACCGCATTTCTGGATCTACTAACCGTATTACCAATTGTATTATTACGTCAATACATTTATTTGCTATATTTCATTCCTGCGTTTGTCATTCATTTGAGACCGGATTTCATCCCGGAATTCACAACAAATTGCCGACGAGCGTTTCAAACTCACACGGGAAGAACAAACAACAAAAAAATTTTCCCTCGTCGTCCACAAAAAATTAGTGACAAAGAGTTACGAGGATTAAAATACGTGAAATTGAGTTATCATGGAAGATTTTTAAAATATTTTGGTAGAACTGGTAAAATACCAAAATGCTCAACAATTACAATAACAAGAAAGAATGGAAGAAAAATGGCAAAAGCAATTACTACAAACGCAGAAGGAAAATCATAAAAGACAAATAGAACTCCAGGAACTAATATTGAAAGTAGCGGGTAACAAGCAATTAGATATTGAACAAGAGGCAATTTTTTCGCAAGACACAGTGTGGAATACCATAGAGATTTTCGAATATTCTCTAGATGAGGATAAAAATTTCGGAGATTACTTCAGAAGACATGAAGACATCTTTAACATCGGCTGTCGAAACTGGACAGAAGCAAAAAAGCTACGTCTATTGCTTATAAAATTAAGCACTGAAGAATATACAAAGTTCGTGGATTATATCTTGCCTAAAAAGACGAACGAATTAACATTTGACGAAGCAGTGACATGTCTTAACGAACTCTTCAGTTCTAAAACATCACTCTTCCATAGGAGGTGGAAATGCCTTACTTTGGTAAATGGCGATAATGAGGATTATTCCACGTTTGCCGCAATCGTAAATAAACATTGCGACGACTTCAAATTAGCGGAATTAACCCCGGACAATTTCAAGTGTCTCATCTTTGTTCAATGGTTAGTTTCAACAAAGGATAGTGAAATGCGCAAAATAATGCTTTCAAAATTACAAAATGAACCTGGACTAACACTACAACATTTATCGGAAGATTGCCAGATATGCCTAAGTCTAAAGAAAAACTCGAAGGACATTGAGGAGTCAGCTTTATCTCATATACGTAAATTAAACAAAAGTCTACGTTCTTCACCCTCCTCGGAAAGAAAACAAAAATTCTATAATAATGAAAAAAGATTCTCACCCTCCCCGGAAAGAAAACAAAAATTCTATAATAAGAGAAAAAGTACAACATACAGAGCAAATTATGGCGAAAATCGAAGCAAATAAAATCCCCCCTCCCCCGCATCAGCATGTTATCGATGTGGAGGACTACATTGGAAAAAGGATTGTCGTTTTGAATATAAAAACTGTCTTGAGTGTGAAAAAAAAGGGCCACAAGGCATCCCAATGTAGGAACAGAAAAGATACTTGTAGAATAAGAGCTACTAGGATGCATAACGAAGACAACACCAACATAAGAAAATATGTGGAACTGGAAATTTTAAATAAAAAGATTAAATTACAACTGGATTCAGGTTCCGAACTCACGATAATCAACCTACAGACATGGAGAAAACTTAACAGACCTACCATGATACATACACAAAAAATTGCCAAGTCGGTTACAGGCAAGCGAATAAAATTTGAAGGAGAAATAATCGTGAATGTTAAATTTCACGTCAAAACAAAAAACTTAAGATATACGTTATGAAAGATACTGAAAATCTAGTAGGTATCGACTGGATACAAAAGTTCAACGTTTGGGATCAACCTATCAGCTCTTTTTGCAAAAAGTTAGAGGTTGAACCATCAGATGCTATAAAGTTAAAGGAAGAATTATATAACCAATTTCCTGAAGTATTTTCGAGCTGGTTGGGACGATGCAACAAATTTGAGGCCAGAACTGAATTAAAAGAAAACGTCCAACCAGTTTTTAAAAAAAAGCGAAACGTGCCATTTGCTACCATAGATGAAAACAGTAAAGAGTTATACAAGGCAGTAAAGGAACTACCTGTGACTTTGCGAGAGATAAGAAGAGAAGCGGGAAAGGATGAATTTATGCAGAGGATAAAGGTAAAAAACAGTCTGTGTTTGACAAATTATTACCAAACAAGAACAAAAACCAGTATACACCTAGTGTACACAAGAGATCATTTAAAACAGGAAGAGAGAATTTACCGAACCTCTGGTTATCGACCATAAGAGAAAAAAATACTAACTCCCCCCGAAAAGGGATCTAAGCGGGGGTATACAAGTGGACTCGCTCAGTGTGTACTTGTACTGCTGCTGGTGAATACCCGGAAGTGATAGGGAGTGATAGAGTGAGAGTGTGAGTTAAGCGCTTTGTAGGAGTCACAGTTGCGAGCACGTAGACTCAGAAAAAATCATACATCGATATTGAATTTCCCAGACTGTATATATATTATTATTGCTACTAACCGCATTTCTGGATCTATTAACCGTATTACCAATTGTATTATTACGTCAATACATTTATTAGCTATATTTCATTCCTGCGTTTGTCACTCATTTGAGACTGGATTTCATCCCGGAATCCACAACAGATAGATAGATAGATAGATAGATAGATGTGAATATTCTGATAGGAAAAACTTATATATATATATATATATATATATATAGAGAGAGAGAGAGAGAGAGAGAGAGAGAGAAAGAGATTTTTTGAATAAGCTGATACATAGATATAAATAAACTGAGATAGAGATGAATAAACTGAGATAGATAGATAGATAGATAGATAGATAGATAGATAGATAGATTAGGAATAGACTGGGATTTAGTTAGACATTTTTCCATTGCCTAACTTCTTACTCAAACTGTAGACCTCCCTACAGGTTTTCCTAGCAAATCCGAGCAATAGGCTTCTCTATTTGATTTCTTACATCCTCTCCTCGCTCTTGCCGAGCTTCGCAGCACTACCCTCTTGCAAATTCAGATCACTCTGTAGTATTTATTGATATTTCGTTCCAATTATCTATTAAACAGGAACCTCATTTCCCTTAACAGCATGCTGATTGGGACTCACTCTTCGAGAAGCCCCATGGACTGACATTTTGAAACTTCAAATTAAGAAGTGCGCCACTGAGGTTTCCTCTTCGGCTAAAACCGACATGGATGCTTTCATTCCTTTTCGGAAATACCAAATAAAACCTCAATCTTCTCCATGGTTCACTCCCGCATGCTCTGTCCACAAGAATCACTATTTCCGGCTATACCAGCGAGATAGCTCCCGTCACAACAAAGGCGTATTCGTTGCTGCTCGTAATAAATGTAAACATGTCCTTGAAGGAGCTATATCTCTGTTTGCTTTGAGAATGAGGTACCATATAGCCTCTAACTTTTGGCTCTTGCGATTACCGGCGGCTGTGTAATATTGTATTAAATAAGTATAAGTTTTCTGTCCCTCCTCTCTTCAATCAATTTATTTATCTTCTACTGATAAAGCTGAATGTTTCGACAGTAAATTATCCTTAAACTCTACTCTTGACTCATCTGGATTATCCCTGCTTAACTCCTCATTTAGAACCGATTCTCTGCTGAGTGATATACATATAGATTTTACTATGGTTTCTTCTCTCTTCTCTTATCTAGATCCTCACAAAAATGTAGACCTGATGATGTCCCTGTAATAGATTTTAAGAAGTGTGCTCCCGGACTGACTCCTGTTCTCTCTAAAATATATAACAAGTAACTCGCTGTCTCTTCCTTTCCTGTCTGCTGGAACTCCTCGTTTGTTGTTCCAGCTTTTAAGAACTCGGGAGAACCGCCTGATCCTTCCAACAATCGCCCTGTTAGACTTCTGTCTCTTTTTGGAAAACTTGTAGAGGCCCTAATCAATGTTGAATTAGTTAAGCATCTCACACCTCAGGGTCTTTTCTCAGACAAGCAATATGGTTTTCGTTTCTCCAGGTCAACTGCTGTGGTACTGACGATAATTGCGGAAAGAGTCTATGAAGCTCTAAATAAAGCTGGTGAAGCTCAGGCTGTAAGTTTGCATATCTCAAAAGCATTTGACAGCGTTTGGTATACAGGTCTTCTCGACAATCTGAAAAGTTAGGAAATGTCCGGACAAATTTTTGAACTGCTCCAGTCTTTCCTATCAAATCGTGAGATGAAAGCCTGAACAGCCCCTCTTCTATATCCTTTTCTACTAATGCAGTTGTCCCCATGGCTCCATCCTTGTACCCTGTACCCACTAACGGCATTCACCCGGGGTTGGTCGAGCCGGCTCCAATATTGGAGTTTCATGGGAATTTGGAATTCACAAGCGGTCCCCAAACCCGCATGTATAGCACATAAGATTTGATTATAGTGGTGAAGGTTTCGTGCAGGACCATCCACACTTTTTGAAGGGCCGATTACAGAGACCTGGTGCACTACGTGCCACAAGGTCCCCAGACGAATCTCCGCAGGTTTTGAATTCAGAGTTTTCCTTCTTCTAGACTAGTTGCCATCCAAGGCTATAGAACCAAGTCTGTCCTGCTATTTACTCATAGCTGGAGGGAGAAGAAGAGGATTCCAAGGGTGTTAGCAGGTAAGTGAATGTAATGGATTCGACTGGAATTCGAACTCGGCTCTCCGATTCCTCAATCCAAGCCGTTATCCATTACTCCACCGTGCCTCCATCCTTGGTCTTACTTTGTTTCTTATTTTCATTAATAACCTTCCCAATGGCTTCAGCTCTCAATATAGTATCTACGCTGATGACGCAACCACTTACACATGCTTCCATTGTAAGTCTGGTCGATCTGATAAGGTCAAAATAGCATCTGATGTCCAAAACGACTTTTAGTCTGTTGTTAACTGGGGCAAAGTATAGCTTGTTAATTTTAACGCCTCCAAAACTAAACTGCTCTTTATTGATCATTTCAGAGACCCCCATTCTGCCTTCCATCTGCATGTCTGATGCTAACCTCCAGGGTAATGACTCGCTGCGTCTTCTCTGGCTTATATTCTCGGCTGACATGAAGTGAGAAGACTATATTGGATCCACTGCTGGGCCAGCTGCTATGTCATGCTAGACAATTTGTCGCTCCAGAATCTATCTTGCATATCTATAAGTCTACTATTCGTCCATGCTTGGAATATTACTACTACATGTGGTCCGATGTTCCAGTTATTCATCTAGAGTTCCTTGATAAAATCTAAATACAAATCAGCAATATTATTGGTATTGATCTGGCATCTCGGCTTCATTCACTTTCCCACCGCCACAAGGTTGCCTCCCTGTGTCTTTTCTATAATTACTTCCATGTTAATTGTCCGGCTGAACTCTTCGCAATGGTAGCTAGACTTTTTTGAATTTAAGCGCAGCATTAGACTGGTGATGAGTTCTCATCAATTTGCAGTTGAGATGGCGAGATGCAACCGTAAATTCTATGCTAAGAGTTCCATTTCTCGCACCTCTCGCTTGTGGGAACTCTCTTCTTGTTTTTCAGCCAACTTTAATCTTCGAAAAATTAAATGCTATGTCTTCTTTTGTTCTCGCTTCTGAGTAATGTTTCTGTTTCTAATTCAGCCACACCCAGTAACCGCTTGTGTCTTAGTGGCTTTACTGCCTTAATTGGGGTGAGTTCTATTAAAAAACAGAAACAGTCTGGAATAGATACAGTGATAGATAAATGATGAACAAACTGAGATAGATAGATAATTAATAAACTGAGATAGATAGATAGATAGATAGATAGATAGATATAGATAGATAGATAGATAGATTTATTTACTTTTTTCACTGATGTCAAAATTATCTACCTAATATCATTGTATGATTTAATCTATTTTTCTATATTTTTTCTACATGGAACGTGTGTTTGGCCTGATGATTTCTGCTAATGGCTTTTTGTATATTTGCATGCACTCACGATAGGACTGTGTGAAGAGTTTGTACATGTTTGCCTCGGTACACACCCTTCTGTGTGTATGTGCTTATGCATCTGCGTGTGTGTATGTGTGTGTGTGTGTGGAGGGAAAGAGATTGTCGACAGGAACATGTTAATGTCAATTTATCAATGCTATCAACAGATTTGCCATTGTTGTCAGATAATTCCCAACATGCTATTATTTTCCGATACGCACAAAATTCCTCAAAGGATGCCATTTTCTCTCTTCAAATCTAATATCATTTCAATTACTTTTACTTTTTCTCTCCTGCCTCCAAACTTCCCCCCCACTCCCTCTCACTCTCTCTATCTGATTTATTTTATGCTTTATCCTTTTTTTTATTTTGTTATTCATTCGGGGGTGGGGTGGGGTTATCTCTCAATCTATTCAATTCTCCTTTATCTTTCAATTTTTCATTCTGGTCTTCTGAAAAAAATCTAATTCATTTGTTTATTTGCTTAATGTACTGGTTTCTCTACGTAAACATTTTTCTCTTCTCCCTCTTAACCGCTTTCAATTCGGGGCCTTTCCTCCTTAATATCTCTCTCTCTCTCTCTCCTCTTCTCTCTCTCTCCTTCTCTCTCTCTTTCTCTCTTTCTCCCTCTCTCCACTTTTCCTCTATCTTTCATTTTCTCTTTTCTTTCTCTCCACTTTCTCTTTCTGTCTCTATTTCTTTCTTCCACTAAACTCTAAGTAGTACTGGGGAAAGAGTTTATATTCAGTGACTGTTAAACTTGCTTGGCAGTCGAGATAGTTGCGTATTACTTATCCATTCCATAATAATTCAGTTTTTGTGCCCAAGCAAAATTCAAAATTTGAATGTTGAATTTCAAATCAGACAATCCTCAAGCTTTCTTTACAAGAAAGATGGATTTTTACACCTCCAGTCAAAGCTTCTATTTGAGACTTTGTTAACTAACATCTGCTAAGTTTTATTTTTTCGAGCGTTTTTTTTTTTTGTTTTTTTTTGTTTTTTAGCTTTCACAGTTTAATTTTTATTTCTGAACTTAGTCCAAGCCGGGATTGATAAGACAGACGACATATATTTTGCTGCCGAAATAAGCTTATTCTCCATATAATTGTTTGCTCTGTAATAATAAATACATTGAGCTCTTTTTCCGAATCAATTTTAATATTTTATATTACTAGGATCCACTTGGATTATATACCAACGCATTTATTACCTTTTATATATATATATATATATATATATATATATATATATATATATATATATATATAAGTAAATAAATTAAAAACTAATAAAAAATCCAAATAAATAAATAAACAAATTAACAAATCGCCCCCGCTAAAACAACCGTTAGAACTAATAAAAATAAGCGTAAATAAGCAAAAACAAGTAAACAAATAATCAATCCAAATAAATAAATTAAAAACTGTCATTCGCCAAGATAACAGAATAGACTACGTCTAAACATTGGACGAATAAATAACTTTAATTATCTTTCAGACCAAAACAAACTATTAAATAAGCGACCTAAGCAAATCCCCACCCCAAATTTTTTACTACGTTAATAAAACATCAAAAACTGAAAAGAATAAATAATACAAAATGAAAATAAAAAACAAGTAAAATAAATTAACCCAAACAAATAAATAAGCATGCCACACCCGGAAAAATTAGGGGAAAATAGATTACCCAGAATGCACCACTGTCCCATATATATAAATAGCCGAGGAAAAGTCCAGCATTCGCGGCCTGACGATTGCGTCACACATGAAACAGCCTGTCGCCTCTGAGGTTGACTTCAATATTCACTATATATATATATATATATATATATATATATATATATATATATATATATATATAGGGACACCGAGCGGCGATAGTCTGTATGTTATGTATATTGGTTTTGGCTCTATTTATATATGCTGGCCAATGGTGCATTATGTGTAGCAAGGTCTATTATATTATACTAAGATTTATTGAGTAGCCGGCAATGGTTATGTTTCAAATTATTCTAGAAGCTATTGAGCAGAAATAATTGTGGATCTGAATGCAATTGCTTGTACCTATTTCATAGTGTTGTTTGTTAACATTTTACTCGTTGCTTCTCGGCTTTCTGAGCATATGAATATATCTTAAGTCTTCTTGTATTGTATGTATGGATATGTTGATAATTTTACAAAGGAGAAAGCTTAACTGAGAGTATAATTAACCCGCATCATAATGCATTGATAAGGAAACATATATATATATATATATAATTATTTTTTATAAAAAATTATAACATAAGTATGTTATAAGATCACTACAAAAATAGCCATTTTGTTTCAACACATTCTGTGTCTTCTCAAGTGATGATGTTGAAAAGAAAATAAATGGTTTTAAAAAGTTTCAGATTAATTAACGATCCTACACTAGGGGGAGCATTGTTACAAAAGCTAGAATAACCAATCAAAAACGAAGTATAGAAAGATTCAAAAGCTTGACAACGAAATCCTGCTATAATAGCTATTCAGATCTTTAAATACGTGTAATATTAAAAATAATTTATACTAACTAATAATTATAAAATCATATGATAAAATTTAATATTAAAATTAAAAACTGGTAATTTTAAAATCCAAATTTAATCACTATTAAGTTTAAAAACTACAAAATTATTGAGAAAAGAAAAAATATATATGTTTATTCAATTCATTTCTTCATTGAAATTATGTTCGACAAGGACGCTACAATATATCCGGTCATTTGATAATACATGTATATATATTTTTTCCCTTTCCTTTCATTTCCGTTTTTTATTTTAAAGTTTGTGGATGTGGTCTTAAACTCACGCGTCAAGACAACAAAAACACAATCAGATTATAATACATAAGCACCCAGACATAATTAGATATACACACACACACACACACACACACACAAAAGACACACACACACATACATACACACTAAAAAGAAAAAAAAAAAAAAAGGAGGTGGGGGGAATGAACATCACTACAGCCCTTTATGAAAAAAAGGGAGACGTGGAAACTAACACTAATACACACACACAGTGAATACACTCTACATACACATAGACACCGATAGATACACATACATACATCCACAGACAATGACAGACAATGAGAAATCACAACCAATAAATATTTCAGACTTAAATAAATGCTAACCACTTATTGAATTATAACTTAAGGAGCAAATATACAAAGATAAAAAATGGTTAAAAATAATATTATTTAATATATTAAAACGAAAATTCTAAAACCATAAATATCAATAAAATATATATTAATCATATAAGTTGATAATAGTTTCATTATATATTAGGCAAAGAAAAAACAGTATACAGAAACACACAACTATATATATATATATATATATATATATATATATATATATATATATATACATAAAGCAAAAAAAACAAATTAACACACATAAATATACACTCATACATACATATACATATATATTTACATACAGAAATGCATACAAATAAATATATAAACATAAACATATACGCACATATACATATCTATGATAACAAGTACACATGCACGCACATATACATATAAACCTAAATACACCCACATATATACACACAAACTTTTATGCACACATACTTACATATATAAAAAAAACAGTCATGATATACCAAAGTTTCCATACCCCCACATACACACAAACAAACTCATACATAATAGGTGCCAACACACAGACATATATATATATATACAAACAAACATACATAAATATATATACACACATACATACATATCTACAAATAAACATATATATAAAAATATCTATCTACAATAACAACTAACCATGCATACATAAAAATACAACAACACTCAACCAAATACATACATAAACGTACTAACATATAGATACATAAATATACCTTCAAAAACCAACACACACCAATATACATAATCTAACATACAAATATATAAACACAATCATACAAACAGAAATATACTTAAATATAGATACACATACACAATAAAATAGGACATACAGATATATATATATGCACACACATATATATATATACACATACATACATACACACATACACACACACAGACATATATATATACAAATATATAGTGGCGTAAAGCCGAAATTAGGAGGCACTCAGTGAGGAACTAATTCATCACTCAGTCGCACCCAATCCCGCGAACCATGCTGGCCAACCATTATACTGCCGTGATTTTATCATACATATACATATATATATTTATACATATACACATATACACACATACATACATATACACACATACATACATATATATATGCATACATATATACAACCACACACACACACACACTTATATATATATATATATATACACATACATATATATATATATATATTTACATATATACATACATACATATACACACACCCATACACACGTACATATATAGGCACACACGTACATATATAGCGCAACAATTATTAACCTCTTCTCTTATCATCTACCATACCTTCCCACCTAATATATATACATATATACACACACACTCACATATATATACACACACACCCACACATATATATATATTTATAAAAAAAACAAAAAAAAAACAATAAAAACACATACACCAACCTACACATTCCTCAGTGCCAATACTCTAACCAACACATAAATAAATATATACACATTTTGCACCAACACTAATAACACTATGCAGGTATACAATACACACTTATATCGTAAGTATGACCATCATGCAATAAAAACACTAATCTATTAAAAATACAGCGACATATCATTATCATTTAAAGTATACGACCCCTACACTAAGTTAAATTTATAACGGTGTTTACAATTTACTGTAAGTTCATATCTTTGATTTAAGAGATCAGCCTTGTTTTTAAATCTAATAATTTCAAATTTTTCATTAAGGCATAGGTAACATGGGGTATATAGGGAGTTACATGTACGAGCTTTCTTAACCAAACTCCATTTAACCGTAGGTGTTTTGTTCTTATCTTTTAGATTCCAAAAATACTTGGATAATG